TTTCCAACTGGTGACCAAGTTTGTTATTTCTGCCTCTACAATGTCTATTTGGCTCCCCTCCACTCCAACAGCTAGTGCCCTTATCCAGTCACAACAGTCTCCTAATTGGTTTCCCTTCCTTTAATCCCTCTCTGCTCTTCAATCCATCCTATACACAGTGGCCATATTGGTATTTCTCAGACATAGATCTGACCACCCCTCTCAACTCCGTTCCCCACCCCCCAAATAAAGCACCGAAGATTGCCTTTTGCCTCGAAGATAAAACAAAAATTCCTCGGTTTGGTATTTAAGGCCCTTTAGCTCTGTCTCCGGCTAACCTTTCCAGGATGATTATACCATTCTCATTGACTCTTCGTGTTAGCCAGACTGGCCTACAGTTGTTTTCAGAATATGATAGACATTCATTCCGTCTCTTTGTGTATTTGTTCAGGTTGTCATTCACTAGGCCTCAAAGGCATTCCTGCTTCACTGCTGTCTCTTAAAACCCCCAGCTTCCATCAAGGCTGAGCCCAAGTGCCATCCCCTAGATGAGGCCTATCCCTAAGCCCCTCAGGGTGTCATGTATAGACTGTGAATTAGCTTTTCTGTGTGTGGGTCCTTCCTCTTCCCATTTAGGAGGTTAGCTCCTTGAATGCTGCTGGGGAGGTTTCAGTTGTATATTTGTATCCCAAGTACCTGCCACACAGTAGGCATTGAATAAAGGCTTATTGAATAAATGAATGAATGAATGATGCTTATATGGGACAACTCTGAGGTCTGAAACCTGGATGACTGAAAGATGGTGATGTCCTTGGCAGAAACAGGGAAGTTATAAAGAGAGATAGATTTAGGGGGAAAGATGATTTCCATTTCAGACATACTGTATTTGAGATGCCTGGCAGATGGTAATATAGGCCTGGAACTCGGGAGTGACTAGACCTGGATAAATCTATCTGGGAGTTACCTACATCAAATGATAATTGAACCCATGGGGAATTGGATAGAAAAGGGGCCTGGCACAGAGAGACGGATGGCACTTATGTATGAAGGACAGCACACAGATGACGGATGAACGAGGAATGGAGACTCAAGAGGAAATCTGACAGGTAAAGGGAAGCTCAGTGGTGTAGCCAGCCTGGAGTCAGGAAGACCTGAGTTCAAATCCAGCCTCAGGTGCTTCCTAGCTGTGTGACCCTGGGCAAATCACTTAATCCTGGTTTGCCTTAGTTTCCTCATCTGTAAAATGGGAGAATAATAATAATAATAATAATAATAATAATAATAATAATAATTATCCCTTTCTCCTATAGTTGTTGTGAAGATCAGATGAGTGCCTAGCACATAGTAAGTGCTATATAAAGTTAGCTATTATTAGTAGTAATATTAAGGGAAAAATCAGGGGGGAGGTGTCATAAAATCCAGTGAGAACAGAATCTTTAGGAGGGAAACATCCGTTTCAGCCCAGTAACTGGGCCATGGCTTTCTTCGGTTTTAGCCATTTCTGGTGAGTGATATCTGCTTAGCTCCTAGTCAAAGGAAGAAGCTTAGCTGATTTTCCAAGCATATTCACCTGCCCAAAGTTATCCAAATGTCTGACAGAAGTGGTATTTACTCTAGGGAAGTGTATCACTTCATTGAATAATGTGAGGCAAAACCCTCTTTACCGTGAGTGTATTTTGAAGTGTGTTTTGCAGTGTTGGGCAGTAAAAAGACTGTGGTTAAAAGCAAACCTGTCAGACATCCTTTGGAACTGAGAAATGCTAATGAGTTTAACCCCCTTCTCCTGCCTCAAGTGGGCACTTGTCCTCTTGAAGTGATGTATGCTTGGTGTTAACCACTGAACTTGAGGTATTTCTGTTATGCTAGGCCACTGCATTAAAGGAAATGGCAAGTCATCTCCATTTGTAGCTGATCAGTAATTCTTTAGTGTTGACCGATTTGGGGAATAGCTTGGTTCATAAGCTGTTCACCTGAAGGACTCAGGTAGGGGTGTGGTGTTACTGCTACTGAATACAATTACATTCACATTTTTCATTTAGTATTTAAATCAGGTGGCTCTGTTTGAATGTTTGGTCAAATAAACTGAAGTTAGAAAGATGTTCAATTAAGTATAATAGACTATGGAAAAGTGTGCAGGCCTGACCATGTCGCTCTCCTACTCAAGAAAAACCAGTGACTCCCTATTACCTCCAGGACCAGAGAAAGATCTTCACAACCCAGCCCCTTCCTAGCTTTCCGGTCTTCTTGTACCTCTTTCTACTTCCTCTACACTGTCCTCCTTCCTTGTGCATAACACTCCATCTCTCATTTCTATGACTTTGCAGGAGGTATCCCCATGCCTAGAAGCTCTCCCTCCTTACTTCTGTCTCCTGCCTTCTCTGGCTTTCTTTAAGACTCATCTCACAGCCCACCTTCTGCAGGTGGCCTTTCCCAATGCCCCCTCCCCAACCCCAGTCAATGCCTTCCCTCTGTGGTTACTGTAGGTATCTTGTATGTATGTGTATGCATGTGTATATGTGTATGTGTGTGTGTGTGTGTGTGTGTGTGTGTGTGTATACATACATGCATGCACAAACACACACATATACAAAGCTGTCTTCCACATTAGAATGGGAGCTCTTGAGGGCACGGTTAGTGTTTTTGCCTTTTTTTGTATCCCTAGTGTTTAGCACAGTGCCTGGCACGTAGTAGGTGCTAAATAAATGCTTGTGGATTGATTACAGCTACAATTAAAAATGACATAATTTCAGTCATGCCTGATTCTTCCTGACCCTATTTGGGATTTTCTTGGCAAAGATCCTAGAGTGATTTCCCATTTCCTTCTCCAGCTCATTTTCACAAATGAGAAAACTGAGGCAAACAGGGTGAAGTGACTTGCTCAGGGTCACATAGCTAGTATGTATCTGAGGCCGGATTTGAACACACAAAGATGAGTCTTCCTGACTCCAGGCCCAGCACTCTGCGTAGGATGGTGTTCCTAGCTGCCCCCAGAATGACATAATTACTGTACCTAATTATATATTTGGTGTATGCATTGTGGCATGCTCACTCTAATCTTAAAATTGAGCTGCTATTTTAGACTCATGCATTTTATGGGAGCTGTGTTTGAATCATTGTCGGGAAAATATGAATGCATGTATGTAATAGAAATGAGATGATATATTTAAAATTCTCTGAAAATCTTAAAGTGTTATATAAATGTTAGCTGTTGTTTTTATTATTACAATTGGGATCCCAAGATGTTGATTTACAGGTAGAAGGGACATTGGTTGTCACCTAATACAACTCAATTCACTATTTACTGTGAATTGAGTTCACACAGTAAACAGAAAGCCGAGATTAGAATTCAGGTCCAAATCCACTGCTCTTCATAAAGTATTTCATTCAAAATGAATTTTTTTGGAAACTTCAATTAACCAAAACCTCCTCACTTAAATTTTCCAGTTAGGAAAGCAGCTTTTCTTAGGTAAATTACCCTAGGCCTCAGTTTCCTCATCTGTCAAATGAGGGGCCTGGACTTAACTCTACAGCTATGAACATATAAACAGTTTCAAATGCTGCAGAGCGGTCAAGAAGGATAAAAATGGAGAAAAGACCATTGGATTTAGCAATTGAGACATCACTGGTGACCTGGGAGGAGACAGTTTCAGTTTAGTCTGAGGGGTTGGAAGCTAGATTCTAAGGGGCTAAAAGGTAGTGGGAGGTGAAAATGTGGAAGCAGCTGGTGCAATACCATTGGTAAGTTAGTTAATGACTTTCTGAGGCTCAGTCACCAATCTTCAAAATCGAGTTTGTGTTATAGTAGAAATAATACTAGATTTGGATTCAATCAATAAATGTTTACAAAATGCCTACTGTGTGCCAGAAGACCTGGGTTCAAATTCTGGCTATGTATGTGAGAGTACTCTGGAATGTGTGAACACTATGTAAATGAGGGTGATGAGATGGATTAAAAAGCATTATTGTAACTGTCATCATCATCATCATCATCATCATCATCATCATCATCATTTATTTATTTATTTATTTTAACCAGATCTGCAATTTAATTCATCCAGGGAATTCTTCTCTCCAGTGATGCAGGTTAGCTAATGTTCTACAATTTATAGTTGTAGAGTGTTGTCTAGGAGACTGAGAAATTAAACCATTTGCCTGAGGGTCTCATGGACCAGTAAGTGTCAGAAATGGGACTTGAACCCAGGTCTTCCTAGTTTTGAGGCTAGGTTTCTATAAGGTCCTGTGGTATGGAAAAAAGGGTGGGGCTGGATTTGGAGGTCTGGCATTTGGGTTCAAATCCCAGCTTTTTCTCCACCCTGACCACTGCCCTCCCTGGCTTCTTTTAATTCACAACTAAACTCCCACCTTTTTCAGGGAGCTTTCCCCAACCCCTCTTAATTGCAGTGCCTTCGGACAGTTGGGTGGTGCCATAGTGCCTACAGCACTGGGCCTGGAGTCAGGAAAAACTGAGTTCAAATCTGGCCTCAGACACTTATTAGCTGTGCCACCCTGGGCAAGTCACTTCACCCTGCTTGCCTCAGTTTCCTCATCTGTAAAATGAGCTGGAGAAGGAAATGGCAAACCACTTCAGTACTGTTGTGGAGAAAACCCCCAATGGGGGTGCAAAGAGCCGGACGTGACTGAAAACGACTGAATAACAAATCCCTCCACTGATTATTGCCTGTGAATCCTGTATATAGCTTGCTTTGTATATATTTATTTGCACATTATCTCCCTTACTTATCGCCCTTGAGGGCAAGGACTGTCTTTTGTCTCTTTTTGTATCCCCAGAGCTTGGCACATAGTAGGTGCTTAATAAATATTGATTGATGGATGGATTTGCTACCTGTGACTTTAGGCAGGTTCCTTAACTTTTCTGGCCCTCATTCCCTCATCCGTAAAGTGAGGAGAGTATACTGTTTGACCTCTAAGGGTCCTTCTAGCTTTAAATCTATCATTCTTATTTTGTGGAGATTTTCCCCCTCCCACAATGGCCCTTGCTTAGAAAACCCTTAAATCCTTACCTTCCCCAAGGAACTTGGGGGCCTGGTCAATCCTCCCACTCCCAGGGAATGGCGGCTCTCCCCATTTCTCTACTTGTTTCTTGTCCCTCTTTCGGTGAGACTCCTCTTCTCTGTGTTGCTTCTTTTCCTTTTTTCTGAGGACAGACTGAACCTTCCCCAGGTCCAGGCTGACGTTGGTGGCCACCAGCTCTCTGTAGTTGCCAAACAGGCTCTGGAACAGCTGGAGATGTTGGCCCACGTCCTGCTTCATGGCCTTGACATCACTCTGGAGGCTCTCCACAGATAGGTTGAGGGGCAGTATGCCATCAGGATGGCAGCACCCTTGGCTATGCCTTATCTGGGACTCATATTTCTCCATCTGAATGCTCAGGTGTGTGATCTCACTCTTCAGGTTGGCCAGGTCATTTTCTTGGAGGCCACCTCCATCTGAGGCTTCATGGTTGGGTTCCAGGTGTTCTACCCTGCTCAGAGCTCCTGCCTTGGCCTGCCCGGAGTCCAGTGGCCCACCTTCGTCAACACTCTCTAGCAAATCTACCCTCTCTCTGAGTGCCATCAGGTCCACAGTATGCTCTTTCAGTCTGTTTGATGTATAATCCAGGGCATCTTCAATCTGAAGGTAGCTCAAAGGCAACCTGGCATTCTCCTCTTCAGTTATCTCCTCCAACATTTCTTCTCCAAATAGGGTGGTCAGCACAGTCTGGTGCTTCAAGGCATCTTCCAAGAGGGAGTTGAAGGAATTGTTAAGGTGGCGGATTTCCCTGAAGACATGCCTGTCCACTCTCTTTAGTCCATCCACCTCCCCCACCAGCGCTTGCACCTGGCCCTTGAGTGAGGCTAGGCTCACCTTGGCCCGGGTGATCTCCTCCTTCTGAGCATCCACAGACAAGGCGAGGTCCTCCACGGCATTGCGCAGGGCCTTGATCGAAGAGCTCTCTAGCATCTTCTGGTCCTCCAGCGTCAAGTGGGTTTCTTCCAGAAAACGAGTGGCATTTCTCTGGTCCTCCCGGAGGAGGCTCAGGTCAAAGTAGAGCTTTTGACAATTGCAGTCCTTCACGTATTTCATCAGGTCTGAGTGGCTCCCCTGCAGGTGATGCAGGGTATAGTTCAGATCTAGGATCTGCCTCTCAAAGTCTTCTTTGGTCTCCTCCATGATGAGGGACTTCTCCATCAAGATGACCCTGAGTTCCTCGATCATGGCCTTGTTGTTTTGCATAGTGTTTACCTGCCTTTCTAGCCTGGTGCCAAGCTCAAAGTTCTCATCAGAATCCATGAAGAGTTCTTTGATTTCTTCCTCATGCTTGGCAAGGGTCTCGTTGAATTGCCTGAGGGCACTCAGGACTTCATCTTCTCTCTTACCAGAGGCAAAGGACAGCTCAGAAAGATTGCTCTGCAGCTGTCCCAGCTTGACCTGTAGGTCCTCCTGTTCTTCCTTGTAGTCTACCGTGCTGGCATTGGCCAGTAGCAGGTGGATTTCCTGGGTCTTCTGGATCTTCTTCACCTTCAAATCTGTGTCTGCCTTGATCACAGACAAGTTGTGGTTCAAGGCAAGCTGCTGGTCATGCAGCTGACTGTCAATGTCTTGCCGAAGCTGGTTGACTTTTAGAATGTTTTCTTGGACTTTGGATTCGAACTTGGTGCCCAGGTCCTGGAAATCTGCTTTGGCCACAGCGATCTCTTGGAATCTCTCAATATTCTGGCGATTGGCCTCCACGTCACGCGATAGGTTCCTCAGCATATGAGAGAGGTTGTGGAGGCTTTCATTGAAGCTTCTCCAGATGGGGCTGAAGTGATTTTTCAGGAAGGTCTCCACATGGGGCAGGAGGACCTGCTGAAGGGATTGTTCCACAGACCCTGTAAGCAACAGATAGAGACTTTCACATTGGGCCAGGGTGGATGACTTCCCCTTCCCTGAGATCCAAAGACTGGCCTTGATGGTATAATCAGGTTCAAGGTGGTGTTGGGACCTGAAGAGAGAAGACATTTTCCTCTCCCCTCCCATCCCAACTCACCAGCTGAAGTGTGGGTCACTTAGGACTGAGAGTTGTATGGATGTCAATGATCATCTCCCATGTCCTTGCCGTAAGATGCAAGGCATCCAGAAAATGAAAAGGGAGAAGCCCTTTGCATTCTGCCCTGGTCAGGTAGGATTCAGTCTTTAGTGCCACATTTTTGGAAAGTCATTTACAAGCCAGACAGATTCAAAAGGAGGGTAATCAGAGTGGTAAGGGGTCAAGAGACCATGCTGTATCAAAGCTGGTAGAAGGAACAAGGGATATTTAGGCTGGAGAAGTGAAGACTCAGAGGGCACGTGAGAGCTGCCTTTGGGTGTTTGAAGGACTGTCATGAGAAAGAGGGATCCAGAGAACAGAACTGAGAGCAAGAACTAAATAGAAAATTTAGTTTTGAACAAGGACAAACTCTCTAACAATTACATCTGTCCACAGGGGGAATGGGCTGCCTCAGGAGTTGGAGGGTTCCTCTTCACTAATGGTTTATATGATGACCTGGGAAGATGTGGTAAAGTGGGTTGGAGGTCAGATATGGGTCATACAATAGGGTCCCTGGGTCCCTTCCATTCTACAACTCGGTGATTCTATAACCTTTCCCAAGACTTCTTACCCAAATACTTTCTCAGAGATGATCAAGCACTCATTTCTCTTCATGTCAAGGTATTTGAGTATCTCCCTTATTGATAAATCAATAAACATTTATTAAGTGCCTGCTATATGACACTATGCTAAGTGGTAGACACTATTCTAAACTTAGGCCAGTTACGATACTTGACCCCAAATTAAAACTTGCTTACCAAGTCCAGTTAGATTTGCCTTTATTTCTTTGGTTGTATGGTTACTTTCCAGGGAATTTTGCAGATCCAGAAGGTCGCTGGTTGCCTGATGGATATCATTCTGAAGGTCTTCCAAGAGGCTCTCCTGTTGTTCAGTTGTTCTCCGTAATTCCATGGGTTCTCTGGAAAGAGGGGCTGATTACAAGATAGAGATTAATTATAATGCAGCCCATATATTGTAGCTTCGTGTGGGAGAACTTTGTCCCTCACTCTTACCCAGAGCTTATTTTATGAGGAATCATTGGAATGGAAGGCTCTGACATTCCAGAGACTGTGAGCTGCTCTATACTAATCCAAGGTCATTGGCTAGCATTTAAACTCAGCTCTGAGGGGTACCAAGAAATACCTTCTTGGCCCCTACCAGGCTTTGGCCACTTTTCAAAATGGAACCAAATTCTTCCATTCTATAAGAATGTGCCTGGGGTAGTGGGCAAAGGACACATCTGGTTGTCTTGTATTTGACAAGAAATGGGGACCACAAGGAGAAGCAGAAAGGATTGTTTCTGAAATATGCCTCTGCTTTCAGTGATTGGAAGTAGCCAATAGGCAGCTGAGAGACATGATTATTAATAACCAATGATTTGGGGAGATCCAGAATTCCCCCCTTTTTCAAAGACCTCATTGCAAAAGTTCAGTCTCTGGAGGACATTGCTGATAATGAAATTGGATTAACTTCCTTAATAAACTTGTTCAGAGCCCACCCAGATGGGGAAGCTGCTGTGCTCCACTCAGGTTTGGGTGGGGAGAAATTCTTTAAATACTGTATTTCACTGCACAATCATCACACCCTGATTTTTAGTCCAAAAATTGGTTTCATTGCATAATTGTCACATGGTGTAATTCTGTTCATCAGGCTGCTTAAAAGGTAAACAGAGCAGCAATGTATTCACCAGTGACATGTGGATACACATTTATCTCTCATATGGTAAGAGCTGTGAGCCTAGAATTGTCAGAGTACACGCATTGTCTATATCCAATTTTAACATATATTCGTGAATATTTTGTGCATCTTAATCTTTCATCAAAGACAGTTTAGTAATAAATGATTTTTAAGTAACACTAGCACAATTTTTAAAAAGCTTCACATAATGGTCACCCCACTTTATTGCAAACAAATTTGGCATAAAACCTGCAACAATTATGCGGTGAAACAGTAGATTGCCCAAGGCTGGGGGTGGTCTGGGAACAGGGATAGTCTCTCTTTGACATGATGTCACTCAGCCCCTCATTGTAATATTCATTGTCTCATTAATTGTTAACCAATCGGAGTTGATTGCCACCTTCAGGAATATTTCAAGGGCATATAAGCCTGAGTGTCACAGACTTCCTGTATTAAAATACTGGCATTATTCATAAAATGATAAGATACCCAGAAATTACGTCTCTTGAACCTTTTAAACATCACACAGCCAAGGAATCATTTGGACTTGGTTTTGGGGTGGGAGGAGTTGAAATGGAACTGTCATGAAAATACATTTGTGTGTGTGTATATATATATATATATATATATATATATATATATATATATATATACACACACACACACACACATATATAATACATATATATATGTGCATATGTATATCTATGTATGTGTGCATGTGTATACACACACATATCCATATATATGTATCTTTAATATACATAATTGTTGATATATTATCTCCCCATTGGACAATATGATCCTTGAGGGCAGATACAATTTTTCTCTTTCTTTGTATCCCCAGCACCCTACACATAATAAGTGCCTGACAGATACTTGTTGAATGGTTAAAGTGTCCCAGTCACAGCCAAAGGCAAAAGCCACCAGAGAAGATGGGGTCTGATCAATGCTGTCTTTCACTCCCTGGGGCGTATGGCAATCAATCCCCATAGACCGACGTTTCCCCAAGCAGGAAAGCACCAAACCAGTTTTATGTTCCAGGGCCTCTTCCCAAGGATTCTCCTTCCCTTTACTCTGGTCATCCATTTTTGAAATCAGTGAAGAGTCTGTCAAAGAGAGGTGGCAGAGGAGGTCAGGTAAAAGCATAGAGAAATGTTAACATTCTTTGAACAGGTCACACAAAGAGTCAGGGGGATGGCCAGGACATAATTTTGGCCACAAGTCTCTAAGTCCACCTTTCTATCCACTGGGCTATGAGAATTTCTCCCATGGAAAAGAAAAGAGAGAAAACAAAACCAGAGAGAGAGAGAGAGAGAGAGAGAGAGAGAGAGAGAGAGAGAGGAGAGAGAGAGAGTGAGAGAGAAACTGAGCGGAAGAGCCAAATGTTGTCCAAAGTATTTGATGAGAGAGGAAGGAATAAGTAGGAAGGGGAATAGGATCATAGAATTTAAAACTGGAAGGCATCTTTGTGATCATCTTTTCTGACTCCTCATCATTTTACAAATGGGGAAACTGAGACTGAGAGAAGGGACTCACTTAAAATGCTGCTCAGTGATGCAACAAGAGGGCAAACAGCAAGGCTGACATTATAAGGTGCTTTAGAGATGGCTTTATGTAACAGAATTGAGATGTAAGGTCTGTGAGAAGGGGAAGGAGATTGAGGATGGTAGGTGATGCAATGGATGGAGTGCTAGGCTTGGAGTGGGGAAGACCTGAGTTCAAATATGGCCTCAGATACTAGATGTGTGACCCTGGGCAAGTCACTCAATCTCAATTTCCTCATCTGTAAAATGGGGATGATAATAATAGCACCTACTTCTAAGGGTTATTGTGAGGATCAAATGAGATAATATTTTAACAAGCACATAGCACAGTGCTTAACTCCTAGTACTCACTATTTAAATGCTTCTTCTATTCCTCTTCCCCTCTTTCCTGAATTTGAAGTAGGCTGTGATAGGCAGGGAAAGTCACAAGGAGACAGGGGCATTCCACTTGGTCATCTAGAGATTCTCCCCTGGGAACACCATGATGAAAAATGCCCCCTCCCCACCTCCCCATGTTGTAGAACCTGGGGACCAGCCTTACCATAATGTTGGCAGTCAGCCCCAGTGTAACCAGGACAGCACTTCCAGACTACAGAGGTGTGGACTTTCTGTTTCACCTGGTACACTGGCTTCAGGGAGATCCGGTACCTGGAAGAAGAAAAGACTCTGGGGAACCATTGCTGATTCAGCTGGCACATGCTTCTGCTCTGAAGAAAACCTGGAGATTCACCCTTCCCTCTATTCTTCTCACCCTACCCCATCTTAGCAGCCCACTCTTTCCTGCTGCTTCCCTCTGCCTGGAGCCTTCTTGTTCTCTAAAGCCAGGGCCAGACACCCTGACAGTTTTTCTTGGTGCTGGGTGATCATTGGGAGTGAGTGAGTAAGAGAGAGAGAAAGGGAGAGAGAAGAGAGAGAGAAAGGGAGAAAGAGAGAGAAAGGGATAGAGAGAGAGAGAGAGAGAGAGAGAGAGAGAGAGAGAGAGAGAGAGGGAGAGAGAGAGAGAGAGAGAGAGAGAGAGCGCAAGCGCTTCAGTGAGGCTCTTCCCCTTTTATCAATCCCCTACACCCTCTGGATCCCACTCACATGACTTTGACCTGACAATCAGGAGTTCCAGGAGGACAGGGCTGCTGAGAATGGACAAAGAACTTCTCAGTTTTGCAGGAGGCTACAAAGGTGACCAGCCTGGACTGCCGGTAGGGGCACCAATTACTAGAAAGAAAAAGGGAGGAAAAAAAATCAAAGAATTATTGTTTAATGTTCATTTCATAGACTCTCAGAATCTCAGCATTGGAGGTGACCTTGAATGTCATCTTCTGTGATCCTTCCATGAAGGGGAATCCCCTCTACAATGTTTCCAACCACTGATCATCTGGCCTCTTCATTTAAAGACCTCCCATGATGGGAACCCATTGCTTCCAATGGGAGCTCCTTCCACTCTGGGACAGTTCTGAGCATTAGGTTTTCCGGTTGTTGAGCTGAAATCTTCCCTTCATTAATCCTAGTTCTAACCTCGGGAGCCAAGCAGTAGAACTCTGAGCCCCTTTTCAAATAACTAGCCCATCAGACGCTTGGATACAGTCTTCAATTTCCTCCTGCCCCCATCATTCAACTGATGCTCATATTTCTTCTTATCCAGATGGGCCAGAAGTCCCTTCCCTACCTGTGTATCCATCATACACCCAGCCCCACCCCTCCACGAAGAGCTTAGCCTACAGTGGCTTTCTGGGGATCCATTAGCACTTAACATAAAGTTCCCTCTTCAAATGGAGAACTTGCATTATTAATTCCTGTTCCCCCACTTACCCCTATTTGAATAAATGCGCTGACAGGAGGCTGGTTTGGAAGTCCTGGCTGTTTCCCTTTCTCATTACCCCTAATACAGGGTTCTTAGCCTTTTTGTGTAATGGACCCTACGGGCAATGTTTGGAGTAGCTAAGGGACCCTTTCTCAGAATGAAGTTTTAAATTCATAAAAATAAAATAGTAAGGTTAGAAATGAAATCAATTATATTGAAAAATAGTTATCAAAAATTTTTTAAAAGACAAATTTATAGATGACAGTTCAAGAATCCTGCTCTAGCATTGTTTCCAGTTTCTGTTTTGGACACTTCTTGGGATTTGCCATCCTTAGCCTCATCATCTGAGATGCTGGAGCACTTGAGGGCTAAGTTTCCAAGGGAAGTAGGACAATAATCATACCAAGAGTAATGAACAAGAAAAACGTTTTCTCCCAACTTTTTGCATGGTTCTGCTGGGGGTGGGGGGAGGGATGCGTGTCAACAAAGACTTAGAAGCCAAGTTGCATGTCAGACTCACATAACAAAACTGGCAGTGAAACCAGGTTTAGAACTTAGAGCTTTTAAATTTAATTTTAATAAATTAATTTAATTTTGAACTTTTTAAATTAAAAATTTTTCCCATTAGTAAAAATCTATTTTCTCCCTTCCACCTCCCCAATCAATGAAAAGAAAATAAAACCCCTTAATAAATTTCTGTCTCTTCTCTCCTCCTCCTCCTCTTCCTCCTCCTCCTGCTTCAACTCTCCTCCCTCTCTCTCTCTCTCTCTCTCTCTCTCTCTCTCTCTCTCTCTCTCTCTCCTCCAGATCTCTTTTTAAAATCCCAATCACCTCAATGCAGTGGCAACAGAGAACCTGGGATCCAATTCTAGTTCTTTCATGTCACCACCTGGGTGACCTTCAATAAGTTACGCCCCTTGTCTGGGCCTCACGTTCCTCATCTGTGCAATGAAATGGATGGACTAGCACTTTTGTCCCCTAGCCTCTTTGTCTTCTCCTCTTCAGGAGTCACCACAGCTCACACTCTATGTCATTCAGAGCTGAAAAGCACCTTCCTTGGGACAGCTGCAGGGGAGGAAACAGGGGTAGCCATGGGCCCTATCACTAGCAAGAGCTAGAGTCAGGATTTGAGCCCTGTCCCGGAGTCTGCTGGTGATCAGCATTCTTTCCACTCTATCTTATTGCCTCCCGTTTTTGCCTGGGCTAGGGAGCTAGGAAGTGGCTGGGCACAGAGTACAGTAGGTATTTAATAAATACTTGAGCAATTGACTAGTCTCCTTAACAATCATTAAGTGGATCCTATGTGCAGGACTGGGACAGCTAGGGAGTGCCATAGTGCATAGAACACTGAGCTTGGAATCAGGAGACTCATTTTCTTGAGTTCAAATCTAGCCTCAGACCCTTACTAACTGTGTGATCCTGGGTAAGTCACTTACCCTGTTTACTTCATTTTCCTCATCTGTAAAAATGCACTGGAGAAGGAAAAGGCAAACCATCCCAGTATCTCTGTCAAGAATACCCCCAAAGTGGGGTCATGAAGAGTGAGACCTGACTAAAAATGACTGAGCAGCAAGAAAAGATGTGCAGGAATGGCAATACAGAGACAAAAATGAAACACTTTGCCCTGAAGGAATTTATAGGGGCATAGCACAGCCCAATGAAAAAGAACATACAAAGTCAAGAAAGGTGATGTGGCCGAATGGATAAAGACCTGGCCTTGAAGCTAGGAGGATCTGGACTCAAGCCCTGCCTTGAGCACCTACTGGCTATTTGATTTTGGGCACCTTTCCAAGGCTAGAATTTGAAGAAAAAATCTGATCCACTCTTGGAAAGGAAGTTTCCACACTTGGGAATTCTTTATGCCAATCATATTATAAGTCAGATCCTTACCCCTTTATTATCATCAATAATTATTATGATTAATTATTCTTAATATCTACTGCTTTAAGCATTTTATACAATTGCAAAACATTTTCTACAACAACCTGTGAAGATGTTAGTTTTATCCTTATTTTATAGGTGGGAAAACTGAGGCCAAGAGAGGTTAAGTGACTTGCCCTGGTCACGCAGCCAGTAAGTGTCTGATCAGGATTCAAACTCAGGACTTCTGACTCCAGCTCCCATACTCTATGTAGCAAACCTTCTGGCCCATACAAAATTATATAAAACAATTTCAATAGGTGAGTAAGTGGGCGGAAATTGGGAAGGAAACCAAATATGTTTTCTAAATACCAGACTGAGTCAGGGGGAAGGAATTTGGAAATGTCAGGGCACGATTTTGGAGCAGGCCTTGATATGAAATGCCTCATTGTTGTAAGAAAGGGGCGAGGGACAAGAGCCTCTCTGATAAAGCCCATTTGAATTGTGTGTGTGAGTGTGTGTGTGTGAGTGATCGCATGGAAACACAGGAACCAAAAAAATTCACATTTCGAAGGAAAACACCCACACCAGATCTGGCCTCTGGAACAAGGATCAACATTATAAATCACAGAGGGTGGGGACAGAGAAGAAATCGGAGGGGCCGTTGCCGTGGAAAAGGGATCAGGTTTATTCTCCTTAGTTCTAGAGGGCTGAACCAGCAGGGATAGGTCGGGGCCCCAGCTAAGCAACATTTGGGCATGCCGTCAGGGATGTACAGAGCACCCGAGCCAAAAGTCGATGGGGCTGTCTTGGAAGCAGGTGGGCTCCCCCTCACTGGGGGGCCTCAAGAAAGCCTATTCTGTAGGAGAAGGGATTCTTGTTCAGGGGTGGGTTCTGAGGATCACGGTTCCCGAGCTGGAAGGACCCTCAGGAGGGCATCTCATGTTATAGATCCAGAGATGGGTTGGCAGAGGGGCCTACAGTCACAAAGTCAGTGTGAGCCAGAAGTGGGTTGGAGTAGATGGTCTTGGAAGCTTTCTGAGATTCTCTAATTCTGAGAAAGGTCCAGCTGTGAACGGGTGGGTGTCAATCAACTACACTGACAAGCATCATGGCGTTCGGGCAAGGGAGATTTGCCAAAGCCAGTGGGAACAGAAATCACTAATGATGCCTGTCCTCAGGACATGATAACTCCATTGGAAGGCCAGAAGGCTGGATTGGAGCACATGAGCATGGCGGTATTAGCAGGACTCCAGAAACGGCCCTCTGGTATCTGGTTCCCAGACCCATGTGGAGAATCCCTCCACCCACCGGCTGCTGCGGACAGGGCTGAGGCCTACATGGTTAGATAACATTAATGAAGCGCAACCCCAGGGCGGGGTGGCAGCTGCCTGAAAACAGACCCGCGGCCTGGAATCTGACTTTGGCTTTGTGCCTGCTAACAGGGCAGGGAGAGCACCTTTTCCTCCCGGTCACCCAGATTCTAAATCTCAAAGACATCTGAGACTCTTCTTCTCTCTCTCCTGTATCCGATCAGTTTCCTTACTCCTCCATATCTTTCCCACCCATACCTTCCTTTCCCACCCTAGTTATAATGGCCTCCAGACTGGTCTCTAGCTCTATTCCTTTCTAAGCCATATTCGCCTTCCTAATACACAGGCCTGACCACAGACATCTCCTGCTCAAAAACATTCTATTGCTCCCAACTGCGGACACTGGCTTTTGGGATTGCAGGGAAGGCCGTCCACAATTTGGTTCCCATTGACCTTTCATGCCTTCTTTCCTGGTTCTACTCTTCATGTACTAGAGAGGTCCTTCCAGACAAATTGAGGTACTGTCCCCCAAGTCATTCTGTGTTCTTTTCCCCAACTTCTATGCCAGATTAACCTGGAAGTCATGCCCTTCTCATCTCTGCTTATTGAAACCTATCTCTTCCTTTAAGGCTCAGTCAGGTGCCAGCTGTTCCAGGAAGCCTTCCCTGATTGCCTCAGCTGGAAACAATCTCCCCCTCACCTTTCTTTAAGCCCGTTGTCTAGAAGCCCTCCTTTGCCTTTGTCTCAGTCTCCCTTAAATTGTACTTATATATGTGTGCACATATAAGTGGATGTTTGCCTGGTTGGCAGCTAGGTGGTATGGTGGATGAAGCACTGGGAAGCCTTGAATTCAAATCCAGTATCAGGCACTTCCTAATTGTGTAATCCTGGACAAGTGGCTTAACTACTATCTGCCTCAGTTTCCTCACCTGTAAAATGGGGATAATAATAATATCTACCTCCCAGGGCTGTTGTGAGGATCAAATGAGATAATATTTGTAAAGCACTTAGGATACTGCCTGGCACATAGTAGGTGCTATATAAACTCTTATTCTCTCCCTCCCCTTCCTTAAAGGAATTCCTTTTCCTACGAGCCTATGTGGCAGTCCCACAGCATGGCGATCCTCCCGCAATAATGTTGTCATCAGAGTCTAGGAAGAAGCATGGCCATTTTGAAGGGAGCATAGGGAGTCCTGGCCAGGCAGTGAGGAGAAGAGGATCATGGCCAGAACTAGCTCTGG